GAAGGGGGTACAGAGGGGAATATTTCGCGGGCGCGAGTGGTAAAGATTCTCTGAAACCTGTGGCATTTCACGAGGCACTCTTCTCTTCGGTATACGCCGAAGGGGGATCGATAGCGCGTCAGAGAGACGACGAGGAGAATCAGGCGGCAGGCTATTTCGAGCAACAACACGGCGGCAGAAGCAGCAGAAGCAGTAGCAACGACAGAAGCGTCCCGTCCGCCGCCAGAGATCCGCAGCCATTCCACGGCCATGTCTGCCGGCGCACGGGGTTGGATACGCCCGAGCGGGGCCTAGCCGGCCAATCAGAACGGAGCGCGGAAGGTCCCGCGCCGTGGTCGTGTCCAATGGGCGTAGCCGGTTCCAGCGAGGCGCGCGACGTCTGGTCCAAGTAGAGGGGGGGCCCTCGCGGTTGTCACAGGTGCAGCCAGTTGGCTGGCGAACTCGAGGCGAGCGTGCTCGGGATCCTTGCGTTTCATGTTTCGCGTCGCTCGTTCAGGCGCAATCCCGGTTTGCCCGGTATCGTTTCTTCAACTTGCACCGCGTCTGTCTCATCGGTTCAAGTTGCATTTCACTCACCGATCCGCGGAACGCGTGGAAACCAAAAACAGAAACTAAATGAAAAGAGTGTGAATCTGAGAAGGAAGGATTTGCCGGCAGATATCGGCGCGCATCGGGGTTATTTGCAACGGGGCAAAGTAGGCAACGAGGTCCTCACGCGAAGGTAAAAGGCGCACAGGAGCTCTTGGATGCGGCCCGTCGCGCGGACGCGCACGTCGCGTCTGAGAGATCTGTCGCGATACCGGTCTCATTGGCGCCCCATGATCCATCGCGGAGTGTCTAGACCCGAGGGAAAACGCGATCTTAACGCGACGACGTTGTTGCAACATGCCAACTGAGATACACGAAGCAGGCGAAGCAGGAACGGAGTACCAAACCAATTGGAAATTTTTATGACCAAGTGATCCTTCCTGCCATCCAATCTCGATAAAAAGAAAAAAAAAGAAAAAAATAAAATATATAAAACCTTCAAACTTTGAAGTTGAAAAATTAAAAAAAGAAAAAGAAAAAAGAACGAACTGTATGCGAACGGTATACGAAGAGACGACGACGACGAAAAGGCTACAATAAAGTGATAAAGGATAAAATACGTGATTTAACGTAAATACGCGATAAAAACACAAGGCAACGCGAACGCGGCTGGAAACTCGAGGCAAACAGAATATATAGGAGAAAAAGAGGAGCGAATTGTCAAAATATCGAGTGTGTGCTGGCGAAAAAACTGGCAGCCAAGGGGGGAAGTGTGAGAAGTGCGATTTAACGGCTGTTGGGATAACACCGCAGTAAAAGTGGGTGCACTGGGGCCCTCGGGACCGTTCGGCCGATACGGGCCCGTGGAAGGTGGGCCTGGTGGTGGTCCCGGGCCCGGCAAGGGAGTGGGGACAGGGGTGGCCGCAGTCGCGGCTGGGGAAGTGGAGGGCTACGGGGGCGCCGGGGGCGGGGGAGGGGGCCCCGGGGGGGTTGGAACCCCCCGGATAAGGGTCGCGACCCTCAGCGGGCCCTGCTGCGCACCCCTGCCCGTCACCCAAGCCTGTAACATAGGTAAGTCGATCATTCCAGTCTCGCTTATATACCTGCCTATATTTTCTTCTCCTTTTCACGCGCGAATCCGGAGGAAGTTTCTGCGAAAAATTATTATATATATATTCGAGAAAGACTATTTTCCAATGAGATATCGCCTATCGAGAGTCTACTGAGAGTTTTGAAACATCCCTTTCCTTGATTGTTCGTCGACTTGTTAGAAATGAAAGAAAAAAAAAATAGCTTGAAAGAAGTTGGAGAATCGGAAGAATTTGCAGATATC